AAATAGCTCGTCCAATATTAATTGAATTAAATAATCATATAGCTAAATTTGTACGTTTAGATTTATATTTTGATTCGAAATGGTTATTAATTAGTGAAATAACATTCGATTCACAGATATATAATGAAAAGATTGAAAAGAACAATGAAATCAAAGAAAAAATTCTCAAAAAATCTTTTAATATCGACGGTAATTTACGTAAACATTATCGAGAGATGCAAAAAACAACAGTATTAGTGAATTCATCTGGAAAAGTATCATCAGTTATTACAATTGAATTATCTTTAGCTTTTTTTATTGGTGCTTTATTAATTATTACTATTCTATTAATTGTTTCACTTATGTGGATTCTTCAACGAAAGAAAAAATTACAATTTCAAAAGTAGATATTCTTAAAAAAACCTATTTTTTGTTATGTATATATATATATTTATATTTTTTTAGATTAACTGAAAAACCATGTAATAATTCATCATGTTATGCTTATCCAACATTACAAATACGTGAATTTCATGATTTAAATGCACCTATTGAAAATGCTATTGATGATCGTGAATATGCAATACCAGATGTAAATTTTTATTCGACATTTTCACCTAAACATAATTTGACTAGTCCTCATCTACTACGAGCGTTAACAATAAATTCAAACAATATGAATTCATATCCAACATTAAAACCAATTTCACATTGTTGTATTCATCAACAACAATATTTACCTATATATCAACAATCACCAATATTATTTTCTCCAATAGAAGAAACTTCACCGATTGAAGCTACTTGCGGAAATAGTTTAATGATTACAATGAATATAATCATGGACAATAAACAGATATCAATAAAAGAAATAAATAATGATGATTTAACTTGTGTTGAAAATATTGGTCGTGGCTTATTTGGAAATATACATCTAGCTGAAGTAAAAGTAACTAATAATGATAACAAGATAGAAAAACAAAATGTAATTATTAAATCATTAAATGATAATGTAGATGCTCAACAAAAGTAAGTTATGAACCAAAGAAGATGTTTCTGATCATATTAATGCTGTTATAATTCTCAAAAAGAATTTTATGAACCTACAGTTATGATTGATTCGATGACATTGTTAGTTGAAATTTTCAGATTCTTCAACATCTCTATTCTAAACATCTATGAATATTCAATAATTGTATAGTGAAAATGTCTGAAATTGTCTGTTCTTTTTTTGAAAGACAATCGAATTCTTGCTAAAAATCAAATCCTTCAAGAAACATATTCTTGAATAGATTGTTCAAATCTAATTATTATTTAATTTTTATTCGTTGAGTACGTTGTAACTTTGATTAAGTTAATTTAAATGAAATCAAATTCGATTGTTAAAAATATAATCTAATATTTTTAGAGCATTATTTTGGAAAGAAATTGAATTACTTTCAGTATTGAATAATGTAAATGTATGTTCTCTATTGGGTATTTTAAACTCTCAACGAACAGTAGCTGTATTTGAATATTATTCACTTGATTTATATCAATATCTTCGTCAACAATCAATACCATTAGATAATTGTTCAGCATCAAGTTTTTTACTTTCATTAGCATGTCAAATAGCATCCGGAATGAAATATTTATCATCTCTTCAAATAATTCATCGAGATTTGGCTGCAAGAAATTGTTTAGTCTCACTCACAGATCATCAATTACATTTAACTGATATTGCTATGGCTAAATCAGTATATGCAAATGATTATGCACGAGTTGGGCCATATCAATCTCGTATTGCAATACGATGGTCTGCTTGGGAGTCTATATTTCTTAATAAATTTTCTTTGAAATCCGATGTTTGGTCATTTGGTGTAACACTTTATGAATTATTTACGTATGCACGACAACGTCCTTATCATACATTAACAAATGAACAATTTGTACAACAACTTGCTTGTTTAACACAAACAGAATTATCACCATCATGTTTAATCGTAAATAATCTTCTTTTACCACAACCAGAATTATGTTCAAAAGAAATTTATGATATGATGTGCGAATGTTGGCAAAGAGATTCTCAACATCGACCATCATTTGCTGATATACATACATTTTTACTTGGTAAAGCATCTGGTTCAGCTTCTTTGACATTACCAGGACTATAGATGTTGTATTTGTTTTTTTGAAAAATGAACCAGACGATTTAGTATTGTTTATAAATACAGATTTTGTGATTGTTTTTTTCTTTTATTTTTAATTTTGTACTAAAATATTGCTTCAGTCAAATTTCTCATTCGAGTTCATGAATATCTAGATGTATATAAATTTTAATGATAATATAAATACATAATAAAAATTTCGACAATGTTTTGAACATTATTTGCAATTAAAAGACACATCAAGGCTATTTCGAACAGTAAGAGATATATACAATTCGAAGTATGGTGTCGCGAATTAACACATTAAGTATTGTATCTTGGCGATCAAAATAATTCAATAGAGAAAAATAGAAGTAGGCGTATATTTTGATCATGATTTCCGTTACTTGAAGTTACATGAAATTAGATATCTGCTTACATTCTTCGCGCTTAACGAGATATATTTTTAGCAAATGTCATGGACGCATGGAACTATTGCAAACACTATGCAATCTTGAGATGGCAACGTTTCTTGTGTGTTTGTAGAAAATCGATTGTTTGGATAATTTTTTTCGTGATAATATTATCAACCAAGAAAAATATTTTTACTATGATATAAAGCTCTTTTTAAGTACAGAAATAAGAAGATTATCTGAGATGAACTCTATTTGATTTGACAAAGATAGAATTCATCGATATTTGAGATTTGAAGTCTTGCAATTTCTGGAGAATACTTCTCCAAGATAGTGCAATAGAAGTGGCCACTCATGTCAATGAGCATCATCGATAACTGAGCTGACACGACTCAATTTTTTTTATAAAAGCATGAAGGAGAATAACTATTACTAGACACGTGTCAAAAATCAAGTTCAATTGAAAATGAAAATGCACAATAAGGTCTAACAGATTTCAAAATAAAATTTCAATGATGCTTTTAGAAATATTTTCAAAAAAAATGATAAATTTGTGTATTGCATTTTTAAGTGATCATTTTGTACACGTACTAGAGGCAAAGTTATTTGAAATAAATGTTCAATGAATATGGAATGAAGCAATAAAAGCCTCCTCTGAATCGGTTCAACGACCAAAGAAATATACACATTTCTTTTTCGACCGAACTTTTAGAAGACCCTGTATATGTATACAACATTATGATAAAAGAAATTTTCTTTGCGATTCTTTACTGATAGCTTACATGAAGCCCTGGATATTTCTTTTCTTTCATCATGTTACAAGAGACCTGGTTTGTTTGTTTCCTGTATAAAGACATATAAGTTGTTGATGAAGAGAAGATTTATAATTTAAGATAGGTTTTAATCAGTGATAATGCGTTTCTGTAAGTCCAACAAATGAATTTAGAATGAAACATAAAGATATTCGTCACATTTATATGACATAGGTGACATATTTGTAATTGTAAAACATAGTTTTTCGATTGGAGAAATTTCTGAAAGGAAGTGCGATCGTCCGTCGTCTCCCGTTCACTCATTTTCCTAAATCTATCACCGTTCCGCCATACAAAATATCACATCTTTCTCTATATAAAGATAATCTGATTTTACTGCCGTTTATTTCTTTTTCTTTTCAGTTGTTCTATTTATTTTCTTTCTTATAGAAGTGAGAAAAGACACAATAAAAAGCATTCTTAGACGAAGAAATTGAAAATTTGGGTAATATATTCAGTGATTAATGATCAAAAATACGAACTATTAATCTCTGTCATCAATAGATTTCAAGAAAGACTATAAATAGCAATGACAAATAAATAAACAACAAGGACACGGAAACAATAACAAGGAAAGATGTACAGTAGAATAATGGTAATAAGTTAATCATCGGAATAACATGCAGCGCCCATCTAGTCAATGCATGAGAAAAAAGTTTTTTGGTAATTTTGTTTCTACACATTACTCGAATAACCAAAAAAATAATGAAAAATATTATAATCACATTTATGGGCTATTATAAACATCCATAATTCTATTTTAAGTCAATGTTTGTGCAGAGTAATAGCAAAAGCTAAAAACATACATGCATATTTACTTTCATCTCTGTTATAGAATGAATAAGTTATATGTGGTGGTACTTTCTTTCTTTCTTCTGTTCTGCTTTAGTATGTAGATGATATGTAAGATATACATATATGCCATTTCTTTCCTGTCCTTCTCTTCTCTTGATATAGTAGATGTGTTTTCCATCTCATAATGTCTTTTTCCAGCTATCCTTGGATGTTTTCTTAGTTCATTCATCTCTATATAGTTGTCGTTTGAAAAATAAAAAAAAAAAGAGATTTTTTAGTATTGATCTGTTAGATCAATACCCCGTTAATAATTCCATGTTCAATGGCATGAATGACTGATCTAATCGTTTTTTTTTCATGCTCACAAAAGACGAGAGAATAGATATATATGGGGGTGACCAGTTTAGCTTGGTACCCTACTTCTTTTTTTCGCACATGTAGCTTCTATAAGGCATCAGAAAAACATGTTTTTTTATCAATTATACCACTGATATAATACTGATGATCTGTCAAGGGTAATAGGTCTATATCTTGTTTGAAACTGAAATAATCAAATGTCTACAAGACCTCTTCTGGTATTTATGTACTGGTTTTGGGAAGACATTTGGTTATTTTGATTTCAAACAAGATATAGACCCATTATCCTTGACAGATCATCAGTATTATATCAGCACTATAATTGGTAAAAGAGGCCATATCATTCTGATGTATTATGGAAGTTACACATACAAAAAGAGTTAGAGTATTCGGCTAAGCTGGGTACCCTCTATACATATATATAAAAACAATTAATATGCTCTCAATGGATCAATATAATTTTCTTTCTTTATACTTTGATTTATTTAACTGTTTTAATTTTTTTTTCAGCGTAATCAATGACAGCCACATCTTTTGACACAGTTCTCCAATGCACGCCAAATCTTCATCATCATGATAATCATCTATTATCTCATGAACTTAATTTAACCAATCTATGTTCTGATGCTTTAGCTGCTTGGGGTATTAATCATCCAGCCGATTTAAGTTATCGTGTTGAATTAGCACGTCGTATAGCATTAACATTTAATAATGCTGAACAAATTATACTTATAGATGATACTGCACTTGTTATACCTCAATCAGAACGTATTATTTTTCATGACATACGTGGTTGTGAACGATCATTATTACCAGGCTTATGGTTATCAGCTGGTTTTCGTTATGGCGGACGGATACTTGTTTATTGTCCACCAAATCCAGTTGAAATGGAAGCATATTTGAAATTGAAAAGATTAATTGAAGGACATCTTCAACGTTCAGTACCTATTCAAATTTTTTATGAAGATTCCAATTGTCATTTATATGAACTTATAAGCATTTTTCAAGACAATTTGAATAAATACAATGAATTATGTGAATTATTTGCACAAAGATCATCAAAAGAATTTTATCCTGAATATCATGTTTATATGTTGAAAAGACATATTAATGAAATAACAAAAGGAATTCGTCGGTCATTTGTTTTTCCATATGAAATGACAGAATTTCATCGACATGAACTTCAATCATATTCTGATCGTTTAACGTTACCTGATATGCCAATTAATGATAAAGCTAAACATAATTTATTCTTAAAATCCAAAGGATTTCATTCATTACCTATTTTAATTGCCGTTTCAACAAATGGAAAACTAATTGATAATTATCAAGAATATGTTCAAACTATGGAACATCTTGATTCAATACCTACTGAAAATATTTTAGAAAATATTCAAAAATTTGCTCGTGGAGTTATTCAAGCTATTGATATATTACATACTCAATATAATGTTTCAGCATTTGTTAAATTGGATGCAAATGGTGCAGCTGGTTGGTCATGTATGAGTCCTAAAACACATTCTTTTATGCATAACTATGACGAAAATCAAGAAAAACGTATTGACTATTTATGTGAATATATTCAAATGAAAGTTGTCGGCCAACATTTACCAAAATTAGCTGTAATCGAAGAATTTATTCAACCTCAAAAACGCTCTGGTGATATCGATGCAGACTACACAGTTTGTGGATTCGTTCTTGGAGGAAAATTTTTTCCAACATCAATTAATTTATGTGGCACTATAAATGACAGTTATGTTGAACAGGTAAAATTGTTTTGAAAAAAAAAAAAGAAAGACTTGAAGAGAAATTCTAACTCTAGTGGACGTCATCATCAGCTAGTGATTTAAATGATTCAGATATCTACTGGCAACATATGTTTCAAACATATTCATTAATGGTTAAGTTAGAAGCATCAGAATTCGGTTATACAAACGGAATATATGCAGGTGATTTATTTGTAACAAAAGATGGTCGTCATAAACAACGTGATTGGAATATTCGTCGTGGTGGACGATCATCTCCTGAATCATTAATTATATTTGGTATGCCCAACTATGAAACAAAAGTTAATCTATCCTTAGCTGATTATGGATTAAATAAAAAGTTAAATAATATTGAATTATTTCGTATTTATACAAAAATATGTCAATGTTTATTAGATGATTATGATATGTATGTCTTTTCAAGTGCATTTGGTTATTGTGGAAAAGATGATGAGAAAAATGATTATTTAAAATTTAATATACTTGTTCATCCAAAACGGCTTGCAAAGTTCGATCAAAATGGTCAAAAAATGATATTATCAAGATGTCAACATAAGGAAAGAGCAACGGAAATTATCAAAGAAATTGCAAAGAAAATTTTTCAAAATACAATTTAATTTTTTTGTAGTTTTTAATTTTTAAAATTAGTTCGTTTTAAATTGTGAACTTAACGCAATAGACAGCGCAGAATATATCGAACAAAAAGTCAATTTTTTTTGTTGTGCACACTTCAATACACTTTAAAATCTTTATTCTATGTTCATGTGATAGAGGGTGTTTTGCTATACAAAACTATCGACTTTCGTTTTCAAACAAATTTTTCTTGTTAGATCACAATGGACAATATGAACATCTCTGAAATCGTCAAACTTCGATTTTCTGCACATATCATCTATTTATGGAAGAATTCTCTCATGGAGATCGATCCCAAAAATGAAGTATTTAGCAACAATCTATAGAAAATTTTGTGCTTTCTGCTCTCATGATCTTTTTAATGTTCCTAGTGCTGTCGTTCAGAAGAAAAAATCTTGAAACTAATGCCTAGAAAATGATATTTTCCAACGCGAGACTAGCTTTGCGACACGTTCATTCTATGTCGTCGGATTTAAAATTACTCTGAACAAAACAATGTAACTGTTAATTTAAAGATTAACAATAATTAGTTTGTCTTGAATTAAGGAAGGACAATCACATAATTGTGTCTGAAAAAGTTGTTTTGTTAATCTTTTCACATTTTTTACTTCAAATTATTTTTTCACAAATATTTATTCTAAATTTTTGAAACATACATCAGAAGATGGACAATGTGGTGGCATATTTGAAATTTCGGATCAGTCTTCATTAAAAACTTTGCATCATTGTCTCATTTTATTGACTGTCATATTTAGACAATCAACAAAGTGGAAATCTTTTGCATTTTGCTCCAATAAGAAAATGTTATTTGAATCCGAATTTCATCAATTCTGTACAGCGATAAATTCTCTATTGAATAAATAAAGAATGAAATTTTGAAAGTATATTGAAATGTTTCAAAAAAGAAAAGAAAATTGTCTCATGTAAATTACTCTATCCATTATAAAGACATGAATACAATAAATGATTTGGTTTTTCATTTGGAGAAAGGAAACTGGACTGTTCACAGTCTATATTTGTATGACGTAATGATGAATGAAGTAAGGAATTTGGTAAAAATTGTAGAATATTTAGTAATGAAATAGATCTTACTCAAAAAATTTGAATGTTATCACAAGCATGGAGTTGTAGACTGGAATTTAACTCTTATGAAACTAGCCCTTTCGAATCTTCTTAGATTCAGTTGCCAACAGGTTTGTTTTATGACATCGATAGTATTGAAAATTATCTTCCATCATAGGATTGTTGATGTTTGGTGCATGATCCTGTTTCAACTCATCTTACGAATCGTATATCCTGTGAATATCTTTCTATTTTACAATTTCTGTTTGTTTTATATGAGAAATAGTAGATACTAAAATCTCGAAAGACCATTCTCATCATATATGAAGAGCACTTGGTCGATCTTGATTAAAATATTACATTATAATTGTGGATACAGAAGTTCTTTAAAGATATCAGTGGAGTCTTTACAGCTCTGTGATATTTAAATTTAGTAAAAGCGCACTTAGCATCTTTTCTTAAACAAGAATTTACAATAAAAAAATAAGTCGAATTTCGGAGTATACTTCAGTTTCTAATATGGTTACTATTATTTCTTCTTGATAAGCCAGTCTTGTCTTTTATTCAGATTTATGTAATCATGCAAACTATGTATTTTTTTTTTATATACCCATATCACGAGTCGGAAAAATTCATTGGTATTCAAGAAACGCAATGAGTTGATAAAGCTAGTCATTCTTTTATTCAAAAGTATTTGAAAAGTGAATACTCGACAAATTATTGGTTTGATACATCGAAATCTGTATCTCTGTCCGCTTTATCGAGAATAATGAATAATGATCTATATTTTGTTGTTCATGAACGATTTGAATTTTTCCTGCTCGAATATCATGATTAATAGAAGTGTGTTCAGAGGTCAGATGAAACATGAGCCCGTTACAAATTAAATCACAAAAATATTTACTTCATATTTATAGTTATGATACATTTCAGTTTATACTATTATTTATAATACTCTTCTTGTCCTCATTTATTCTCATTAGTATTATTATAGGAAAGTGCATGATTTTGCTCAATCGAATTCTATAAAAATATGGTTTTATATCACATTGCACAGGTATCCAGAAATATTTTCTTATCATGGCTAGTCTTCTTAGAACCAGAGATTATTCAAATAATTTAAGAGAAAAAAGAATGGAAAAAAACGTATTTATCTCACAACTATCTTCATATAGAACGGGTATTCTCTATCAAGAAGTTCTTATTTGTTTGCATTATCTCTGCTATCATTTTTATTAAAATTAATCATACGTCAAAATCATGTCTTTTCTACTTCTTTTCTATCTTCGTCTGCATAAGAAATTAAATTATCTTCAATTAACTGATTGTTTTTGATTAGAAAGGTTGTTTTTATATGTAACAGTAAAACGAACCCCATTCAAACACTCTTATTTACATTAATACTTAAGAAAAATAGCTTCAATAATAGATTGAAGTAGCTTCTTCTGGTCATCCATATGTGACTGTAAAACTACCTTATAATAATCATAGTTATTTTAGAGACGATTGATTCTGTCATTCACGACAAAGCCATATTGTGAATATTAAAGGGGAACAAAATAGGTCATTAATTGCAGCTACTCATGAACTCTCACATTGATCCATGACTATTGACGGGTCATTGACACCATTATTTTCTCTAATTAGGCAATATCTACACAATTCAGATAGTCTCATGTGGTACATGAACACGAATCTACGAATTAAACTAAATATCAACATTTTGATATTTGAGAGTGAATACATGATCTTTTTCTGTGATATGAGTTACGATTATTATGTTCGTATTATTTTTGTAGATTTAAATCTCGATTAATTTCTTCTTCAATATATATATAACGACTTCATCATTTCTTTGTTTTCAAATATCAAATCGAATGATACATATTGCTGATCAAAATAATTGAAATAATGTCTTCACTCTCTTGTGGTATTTTCGATAAGCAAGAAGGAGACACTTGTATGCTTCTTTTCTATTAGAAATTTTTTAACTACTTAGGGTCTTGACAGTTCAATATAAAAGATCTGGAATGTACGTTTTATTCGATAAATCAGCTTGGTGCACAAGTGAGACATACAAATAGTTATGGAGTTGAACGAAAATATTTACGAAAGATAACATGGTTAATACTATATCATTCACCACTTGTATAAAACATTGATAAAATGCGAGTACGCGATTTTAGAGTATCATTTTTAGTTGACGTTGAATCTACTTAACTGAAATTGAATATTTTCAAATAACTAGTTGAAAAATGAGAAAATTTTTGATGTTAACGTCGATCAAAAATGCAAAATCGATAAGAAAAGATTATATTATGTAATACCAAGAATTATTTCATTAATTCTTGTACAAGATTATTACATTACGCTTGTGGATACTAGTGTTTCTTATATTTTGGAGATGTTTTCTACTTAGTGATGCTACATTTCCTGGCTCCATATTGGTTTTCCCTTGAATATTATCAACACTAATAGAATAATCTTGGCAGATTAAATATAACAAGTATTGTACACTAATAAACAGTGCAAGAAATACATCTACTCTGACTAAAGTCATCAAACAAATGTGAACATATGACTCACAATGGAGCACAATCTGATATATTGAAAAACGATAGATCGCTTACAATAAAAAGCGTCAATACGCATAAGACTAGATGCATGTCTGAAAAAATTGATCGAATATTAGTTAACGAAAATATCAAAGAAATCAATGTTGTATAAAGAAAAGTATTTGTCAGTCGTGAATATTACTTTTTATAGTTTTTGTAACAGTGGTTTGAGGTAGTTGTGAATTTTTATACATTTCAGCGCACCTAAGTTCCAAAATCTGTCGAGCCATATAGAAAGCTCGAAATGTTTTAACCGACTATTAATATCAGTTTGCTGACACAGAATTTTGTCGAGGCGCCGATGAATAAATGAGAGTTAAGGATCATCAAAGGATGAACATGTACAGTAGACAGATCATCATTCTGATAGTGGATATATCCAAGTTAATAAAAAAGAAAGATGTTTTCTCAACGATCGCTATTTGTTGTTTTCTCTAGAAATATGGTTTAAATGTATTCGGCTTGACTAAACTCGTCAGTCTTGAACATTCTTTGACTAATTGGAAGCATTCCTAATAACATATATACTATCTATATTCTGATCTATTGGGTAGGTAGTATGGTTATCAGTTTTCCAGTTCTTGAAGATTTTCTTCTCAAGCAATGAATACACAAATCAAACTTTGTTTTGTGGCATTCTTAGATATATAGAAATGTTTCTATAGTTTCGCCTATCAGTTTCTTCGAAACTGTTATGCCTATATTTGTTCCTAAGAACGGTAATCTAAAAGTGACATTCCTGAAACTTACGTAGTTTAATTACAATTATTCATGCTATTACGTCATTTTTGAAATGTCATTTGACTTATCAATGATAAATTAGGATTTTGTAGTTTCAGGTGTCTATAGATTAGAAATAAAAACTGGCATTTTTTTTCTAGGTAAAGATTTGCTAATATTTAACAATGATAAGCGTCTTGTTGATATACTTAACTCCATTCAATCATACATTAAATCTTTTCAACGACTTCGTGTTTATTTTTCCACAATAGCTATGATTAATATTTTTCGAATTCTAACTAAATATCAGACTCCTCTTTTATAAGAGTCATTTTCATCTCTTACTTATGAATCTATAAAATCAACAGAAACTTCATCCATTCCCAGGTCAACCGCTATGGTCTGTATACAGCTATTTAGGATTCATTTAAGGCACGGAGACGGATCATATTCTGCCGTAATATCTGGCGCAGAAATACGACCTTATACAGTAAAAATATGATCCATTTACGTGCTATATAAAGCAAACCGTTAGCGGAAGTTTCGATTAAACAGATCGATAATAAGAACTTTTTATATTTTCAAAG